CAAAATGCTCCCCTTGTGATCTTTTACTTCACACTATGAATGCAGGGACCTTAACTCAAACTCGTTGTCTGGTTTCATTCCAGAATCACTTGCAAGCCTTACCAACTTGAAGGAATTGTACGACTTCGACTTCTACTGTTACCAAAGATGATTCCACCAATTTGAAGCTTTTCTGCATTGGCTACTTCAGAGAACTAACGTAACCTCAGCTTTGATCCTCCTGCATGCATCCCTTGTTTACGAAGAATTTGAGAAAACCCAATAATCTCTCCACGAGCATCCCCTTTGTCAGGCTTCTTGCTAACAACAGCCTAACTGGCAGCATTCCTGGGTCCGTTGGCAACCTCGTGCAACTTTCGATGTTGTGAGTGCTGCTCTCCTATAAGCGATGATGGTGCCATAACCACCGGTGTAATTGAATTGCCTTAGGTCGTGTGCTCTTTAAGAGTGTGCATCTAGCCCAGCAACAGTGTAAAGGGGGGTCTTCAATGCAATCATTTGCATGTATCGCTGCTGGTGTTCCTTGTCGCGTTCGAAGTCATCGAGGAAAAGTTTCTCGTAGAATATGCAGTCTCAGGCATACAAAACCTTTCGGGTTTCGTAATCCATACAGTGGCGGATTAAATTGCCCGGATGTTTAACACTTTGAAACGTATCGTTATGCAACACATGTTTCGAAAATAGTAACACCCGTTTTTTTCCATTCTGTTACTCGGTTTTTGAGTTCTGCTTCATCCGTTTCTTGCTTGGCGCGATTGTGACACTAACGGAAAGTGGGGTTGAAATTTACTACTCGACTGTCGATGTGGACATTTCCTACCGAGCGGAAGAGTAGATCTATTTTCCCCCGTCGCTCAGTGTGTACATCGTCACGCGCACCAGTTCCTAGCTTAGTTGTTAGTCCGGAAGCGAGCCTACGACCGCATCGCTATGAAGCCGTTAAATGAGAAGAAGCGCGCGAGGATCAGAAGCATGTTGCGTGCGGGGCATTCGACTAGGAAAATAGGGAAACTTCTTGGCATAGGCAAGAGCACCGTGCACGATTACGGTATGAAACTCGCTGAGGAGACTAGTCGCGAGGAGGTGCGACCTACGATGCCTTCGGCCGGCCGCCCCCGCTTAATCACAACCCGTCTCCAGCGCGGAGTTATACGTGCGATTACTAGCGGCGAGGCGAAAAGCTCTTCAGACGCGGCCAAGATGTTGTTGGAGAAGCACGATCTCGCCGTAGACTCGAAGACGGTCCGCAACTCTTTACGATCCGCGGGGCTGATCGCCGTGCATCAGCCCAAGAAACCCAGGCTCTCACCGAAAAACATCCGCGATCGTCTCGACTTCGCGCGGGCGCATGCCGACTGGACGCTGGAGGACTGGAAGCGGGTGATTTGGTCTGACGAGACGAAGATTAACCGCTACTGCTCCGACGGACGTGCGTACGCCTGGATTCGCGAGGGCACCAGCCTTCGGAGCCACCAAGTCCAACAGACAGTTAAGCATGGGGGCGGTTCTGTGATGGTGTGGGGTTGCATGACGTATGAGGGGGCGGGGTTCATGTGCAAGATAGATGGCAGGATGGATGGGCCGCTGTATCGCAGCATCTTGCAAGATGAGCTCAAACAGACCATCGATTTTTTCAAGCTTTCCCCCTCAGAGGTCATTTTCCAGCACGACAATGATCCCAAGCACAGGTGTCGTCTGGTCCAAGACTGGCTTGGGGAGCAGGAGTACGCGGTGCTGGAATGGCCGTCGTGCTCCCCGGACCTTAACCCAATTGAGCACCTGTGGGCATACTTGAAAAGGCAGCTGGGGAAGTACGAAAAGCCGCCAAGGGGAATGCTGGAGCTGTGGGAGAGGGTGCAGGAGGAATGGGACAAGATACCGCCGGAGGTGTGTGCAAACCTGATCGACAGCCTGCCGAGGAGGATCAAGGCAGTGATTCGGGCAAAGGGACGCTGGACTAGGTACTAGTTTTCCTAGAATCTAGTGTGATACCATTTTCCGGTACAAATTGTCCACATGTTCTCCCATGCTATGCTTAGGAGTTTAAGGACCATGTGTGGTACTACTTTGGTGTTTGAACACTGGAGTGACTGCTCTAACTGAACTTCTCAGCGTTAATGCACACCTTACATTAAGGCTTAATGTATACGCCTCTGCACTCATAAAAATGCCAAAAAAGGCAAAACATGTGGACAATTTAATCCGCCACTGTAACTATCCAGGAGTAGGAATCTTTAGGTACACCGAGGTGTATTCCCCATCGAGCCCGTTCAGTAAACCTGCCCACAGTTGCGCTCGGAGGTCTGTATTGGACCATGCAGCCCCCCAAACTCGTAATAGTTGAGTGTCGGCGGGGTGTTTTGTCCACATGACGTGTGGCGAGCTGTACTGAGGGAGAGCTGTTGAAGACAAGCAGAAAAGAAGAACAGCAGACAGCAAGCAAACAAACAGTGGCACCGAAGATGCGTGTGCTGCTGCAACAGTCCCGCTTGACAGCAGACTTCTGGCCGTTTGCGGTGCCGTCTTTTAAGGGCAAGCAAACATCTGTCACTAGTAATGGACCAGCATTGACACCTCGGTATCGGTGCCGCTATTTGTTTCATGGACCGAGATCCAAGCAGTGAATCACTTACATAAAATTCCATTATCCTGCATTTGCACGTGCAGGGATCTGAATGGAACCGCAGTTACGTGCCCTCCTGACTTCACTCAATGCGTGGTCAAACAAAATCTTACAGGGGCCTTCTGCCTCACGTGCCTCTCCTTCTGCAAAACTTGTGTCATGGCAGCTCCATGTGAGACCGATTGAGCCATCATCCTTTTCCATGCTTTATTTCCCAAATAGTTCTAATGGATGTCCACTATCCCACATCCCCCCCCCCCCATCCCTCCTCATGCCAATACTCAATGAGAAGCATTGGCAGTACTACTGGCATCAATCTGCTCTCTTCAATGCAACGTTTTCAGTGCGTCCCACCCTTTGTGGCCACATTGTAATGCTGTGCCGCCCATCAATCTCCTTTTCATGTCCATCCTGCCCCTTGCCTCCTCAAGCAGCTCCCGCCCCATCGCCTGCGCCCACCACAGCACCCGGATCTACAACCACAGAGTCTCCACCACCGTCCTCCTCCTCCCCAGCATCCCTCCCCTCACCTGAGTCGTCTACTTCCCAGTCTGGAGGCGGTCTGTCATCAGCAGCCATTGCTGGCATTTCTGTAGCTGCTGCGGCTTCATTGCTGCTGTTGGTGATTGGCATGCTGCTATGTTTGAGAGGCTTCAAGAAAGAAGTGACACAGGGAGCAGCTATAGCAGGCAAGGAGGGCGAGGATCCAGCTCTAGAGAAAGATGTCGAAGGTGAGAATGGTGGACTTGCCTTCTTTCCTGTCCCCTTGTCTAATGGTACTTGTACGCTCAAAGTTTGGGTGGAGCAAACACACGGGTATGGGATCACTAGTTTGGGTTTGGGAGGGAGGAGGCAGGCAGGCGTTCCCTAAATGGCTGAGTACAAGCTAAGGGGTCGGGAGGGTTCTAAATGTCCTCTCCTCTCTCAAACGGTCGATGTATGCTCGACTACAAGGGTGCAGTAGAGGATAACCAAAGGCGTGTAACCAAATTTCCTAAGGGGTCTGTTACAAAAATCGTAACCCCCTTTCCAATAATGGTCAATTACGAAATTCACAAATCGTCATCAGATCTGACCATTTTCAAGAAGATCTGTTTTTCCCAAATCGTCATGCCCCCACCCCAACAGCATGGCATGTCGTGCTGAGCCAAGCTGGCTTGCATTCGAGCCGGCTCCCGGCTTGACTCTGTTTTGGCAAGCCGAGCCCGGCTTGGCTCGTTTGGCAGCTGGCTCAAACCTATTTCGAGCCAGGCTCGGCTCGGCTCGGCTTATGCCTATGTCTAATTATATGCATACAATTGCCAATATAGCAGGGTGACGGAGGCATGCGCAATGGGTCAAGCCGAACCGGCTCATGGCTGGTCAAAACATGGCGACCGGGGTCGAGCCGCAGAGGCATGAGCAACGGGTCGAGCCGAACCATGAGCGAGCCATGCTCGACCCTTGGGGCTTAGTCTAAAAACTGCCCCCCTGGCGTGTCAGGCAGGGTGGGGGGGGTGGGGGTGGAGAGCACGGTGGAAAGAGGCTGCATGGTGAAAGCACTGATCTGTTATCGTTTCCTAAAGCTTCCAAGCGCAACTTGGGAGTGTATGGAGCTCGCGACGAGTCGAGCCGGCAGTAAGAAGTGTTGTCCATTTTACTGTACTCCAGCACCCGCATGCACCTATTCCCAAATGTGGAGTAGCCCCGTGGGGCTTGGAATGCTGGGACTGCGTTAGCTTGGGTGCGTCAGCTTGTGCTGCGCGCTTGCCCCTCATCCCATGAGCAGGCCAGGCTGGCAGCATAACAGCCTCTCCCTGCACCGAGTACTTCCTTGAGGAAGTCATGGCAGCCACGAGCAACTGGTCGGATGACAACAAGATAAGATCTGGCGCCTTTGGTGATGTATTCAAGGGCGTGTCTCCACGCGATGGCATCACACAGTGGGCAGTCAAACGAGCCAAAGTGCTTGAGGCTGACTTCCAGAAAGAGGTGAGTTAACTTTCCATCGTCTTTCAAGCATTCATCTAACCCCATCTGGGTTTCACATGCAGCAATTTATTTGAGCCGCAGCGGCATGTCTCCTCATCCATTCCATGGCAGGACTCTCAATCCATCCCGCTACAAAACCTTTCTTGATGGAGCACATATTGACCCATCCCTTAATCTGACACATTGTTACACGTGTCTTAGTCTAACAGATTGCGAGAAACTTCGTGAAATAACACACTCGCCCAAATATTAATCCATTTTATCTTGTCTCTTTTCTCTCCCAGGTCCGACAAATGGCAGACAAGAACCATCCTCACATCGTTCGGCTGCTCGGGTTTGCTGTTGGAGGGGACATGAGGACACGGCCAGAGCAAGTCTTGATCTACGAGCTTGTTGCAAATGGGGACCTTCAGATGTGGATCAGTACACGTAAGTATTTTTCAACGAACTGCACTTTTGCTTTCTATTATGACAAACAAAAAGGCTCAAGTTGTGTCACTCATGTTTGTATCTTTGCAGAAGCACCCGTTCATCTCAGCTTGAAGCAGCAGCTGGACATCCTTATTGGTGCTGCACGTGGCGTTGAGTACCTCCACAGCTTTGGCCTTGTGCATCGCGACATCAAACCTGCCAACATCCTCCTCGGGGCAGACATGCAGGCAAGTTCTGTGCAAGCACCGGCAGTCATCTAGAAAAGAAGAGTGTATGAGTGTGCTTATTCTCATCAGGCTTCCAAACGTTCCAAATGAGAGAAGCTTCGTAGCCCTTGATGAGAAGTTTCCAAATGAGAACAAGTTGTAAACGAGTTGTATTTGCCTTTGTGGGCTGACATGCCTAGCATTTCCCTTTGTTGTTATTTGTAAGCTTGTACGAGATAGAAACCTCGTCACATCTTTCTTCATTTAGTCCATCTCTCTTTGTCATGCGAACACCCATCAGTCCAAGATTGCAGATTTCGGGCTTGTGAGGGTGGAAGAGGGCTCGGTAGTGGGCACAACTCGAGTCATGGGAACACCAGGCTACGTGGATCCTATTTACTCCCGGACGTCAATGGCAACCAGGGCCACCGATGTCTACAGGTGAGTTTGGATTCACAACAGCCAACCTAGCTGCTGACTCAAGAGGTTTCCTCAGCAATGATCAACGGGGGTCTCGTGTTGGGGTGCACTTGTTTTGACTGAACCTAGGCGCATATGCATATCCTGCCAGTTATTGTTCATGTGTTTGTAGCACACATGGATCATTACGTCTCTATGTCATGTATGTGCGATATTACCGCCATAACTGCTGTCAACATCCCACCCTTGCTGCAGCTTCGGTGTGCTCATGCTTGTGGTCCTCACTGGACGAGATCCGTTAACAACAGCTGAAGGAGAGCAGAAGCACATTCTTCGATGGGTAAGTCCTATCGTTTAGTCACATGGCACGACTGTTGCACATGTTACTGCTAATGGCACCGCTGAAGTTCAGTGTCTCTTGGTCATCATCTCAATCTTGCTTGAGCCCTTGAGCCTGTTCCCATCCTCGCCTGCTGCACTCCTCCAGGTGGAGGCCTTCTTGGCATCCGACAGCCTAACACGCCTCAAGGACCTCGGCATGGACGCCCCTGATGATGCTGTGCTGCGGTTGGCCCAGCTGGCTCTCAGCTGCACTGGGAAGCGCACTGCGAGTCGCCCCAGCATGGCAGACATTGCCAATGCGTTGCAGGGCATCAGGGATGAGGTGGTGGGGAAGGAGGAGTTAGCTGCAGCTCGCAAAGTGGATGAGCAAGCCCAGGAGATGAAGGGGCCATTCATGGATGCTCATCTGCAATGCATTGACAACCTCCTGCAGGGGAATTCGTTTGAAGATCAGTCACCTACCTAAATGAAAATCCAGGCAGCAGTAACCTAGGGAACTTAGATGTTCGTGAAGCTCGCTGGTTAAGAAGAGGTGCTGTATCTGTTAAATTATATATTGTGTTATATAATTGGTAGGCTTGGTAGGTTATCGAACTCTACTGGAGAGGGTACAATCCCCTACTTGTATCCCTCTCTCTTTCTATTCCAACTCTCTTTTCTCTCGTTAACTTTCTCTCCTAGCTCCTAAAATCTCTCGCCACTTTCATGGTGTCCTAGAGTTCCTAGTTTAACATGGAATCAGAGCTGTTCGCTCCTAGTGGGCCTGCTCCCCACGCTTCCGCCGCGTACTCGTTCGTTGTTCCTCCCTGCCGGGCCGCCGTCGCGGCCATGCCGAGCTGTCGTCGCTGCGTCGTGGTGCTGCCGTCGCAGCCCCAACGCGTGGCGTTGACGTCACGCCGCTGCGACGGCGTCGTTGACGTCAAGCCATGGCGGCGTGACGGCGCGGTTGACCTGCCGTCGACGTGCCTCCACGGCATCGACGCCGCGCTGTGGCGGCATCGTAAGAATGCTGTGGCGGCGTCAGCGGGCTGCAGCCGACCGCGCAACGCCTGTGGCGCCGCTAGACCTGCCGCCCGCATGCCAGCCGTGAGCGTGATGTTGGATCACGCACCTGCCCCTCCCCCCCCCTCCTTCCCCTGCGTCCCCTCCTTGCCACAGCCGACACCTGATGCGTGGGGGACCCCATCGTCGCGGAGGTTGGCCATGCCGCCGAGGGGGCGGGGGCCGCTACAGTTTCCTCTGACATTGAAGCCGCAGCCACCGCCGCTGTTGTCGCAGGCCGTTGCCGCCGCACGACGCCGTCGCCGCCAGTCTCGTCACTGCCGTGGCTGCCACCATTGCCATTTCACGGGCCGTGGGGGCTGGCCCAACTGGAGTAGACGTGGCTGATGCTTGGAATGGGGGTGCTAGGTTAGGGGGTGTGAGTGCTTCTACTACCAAGCCTAGGGGGTGTGTTAAATTATATATTGTGTTATATGATTGGTAGGCTTGGTAGGTTATCGAACTCTACTGTAGAGGGTACAATCCCCTCCTTGTATCCCTCTCTCTTTCTATTCCAACTCTCTTTTCTCTCGTTATCTTTCTCTCCTAGCTCCTAAAACCTCTCGCCACTTTCATGGCGTCTTAGAGTTCGTAGTTTAACAGTATCTACATTATTGATGCAACATATAGTGTGCATCAAACAACAAAAAATCCCAAAGAAAAGTTGTAATATTTCGGATATAAGCATTGGGGCGCTACTAGGGAACCTCTTTAAAATTAAGAGGGTACTTATAATCAAACAAGAGTATATTGTAGCGTAGGGCTTAAAAGTTTTTTACAAAAAAGAGAGTAAATATGAGGATAATTGACAAATGGGGGATATGAAGTTGAAATGTGGAGGTATGGCGAGGCATGGCTGGCTGTGGTCCAAACAGAGCCGAGGAGCAGGGTTCCTGCTAAGTTTTAGGGCTGTCTGAGAATCAGACGGGGTTTCAAATTTTTGTCTGACCATCAGACGAGCTACCTGGGCTGGTCAAGATGTTCAGACGAGTTGTCCAGCATCATCTGAGCTTCCAGACGAAAAAAATGAACTTCACAATAAACTATAGTACAGTACTGGGGTGATGACGCGCCACGCGGCAAAAATATTCCGTGGGTGGCAGGTTTGAAAGCATGTTCCTATGAACCTCCTCCCATGCTGTCCCCTTCCCAAACTCGGCCCTTGCCTGAGAGCGTGTTCGAAGAACCACTTTTCCAGCTGTTTCGTTTCAGAATCGCATTATCAATCGCGTCAACATCCCACTGTACAGATTCGCGCACGATTGAAATTTTCGCTCCAGATACGAGACTTGAAAACAAGCCTTGAATCTCGACAATCCCAATCTTGCGTCAGACCACGCGTAACCGCATTTAACTGTTTCGCGTCAGAATTACGTGACACTGTAGCGCGGGAGTTTGGGAAGAGGTTGGCTGGGAAGAGGCCGCAAGAACATGCTCTGAGGCCTGATGACACACCTTGTCGAATGGCCACAAGGGCATGGACTACACCAAAATTGTAAAACGGGCGGGATGGGGGGGGGGGGGGGGGGGGTGGGGGGGGGTGGGGGGGGGGGAACAGGTTACGAGGTGGGCGCAATGTACCGCCCACCAGAGTGGGAGGAGATTGGGTGAACCGTCGAGATCGTGATCGTTGATCGACAAGATATTTCTAAGGTGTGTGTTGCGATTTACTTTGCCAGCAACATTCTCACCAGTTCGGAGCGATTTTGATTGGCTACATAGAAGAATGGCTTCCTGTGCTTGTGCCTAGACTTCATGACCAATGAGACTCCTTTTCTACGAAAATATTTTTACACCCACTTCGCCTTCCAGCTCAAATTGTGAATCTAATCAGATTCCCGTAGGAAAACGCTCTCAGACAGAAATATACGCGCTATTTGGAAATTCAAATGACTGCCTACACCAAGTTTGAGAATCCAGACGAATTTATATAACCAAGATGGTCGTTCAAATGAAAATTAATGGGCTGTCAAAAAATAAGATGACACGGGAACAGTGAGTCTGATTCTCAGATGAACATACGGATTTCGTCTACTAACGGGAACCCTGCCGAGGAGCTGATGTGAAAATTTCAGCAGCCAAGCAAGCGAGAGTTGCGATAGTAGCCAGCAAGACACTGGGAGGTTTGTGAGAGGTGAGACATGGCCCTTTTATCAGACGAAATCGGTCCGATGGTCTGATTTTCAGACCTGATTTTGTAGGTTCATCTGAAAGTTTAGACAACCCTGAAAAAATTGTCTGATTGTTAGAGCCCGCAGCCCAAATTGTTCAGACACACTGCATATGAACTCTGTGCCTGCGGCCCTTACGAAACCCACAAAAATCGCGAGGGTGTTTTTCCTCGTAAAGTGAGTGTTCGTGCACCGTCAGATTCGACTCCAAGCTTTTGGACGGTTAAGATTAAGCCCCGAATGATTGGTGGTGCTATGGAAAGAACAGTTGGTATGCAGACCATTAGATGCAGATCTGTGAAAAAATGGACGGTCGAAAAACGTGCTACACATGGAGTTCCAAAATGCAGCCGCAGTGAACTTGAAAGCCACCCCCTGAGTGACGAGACTCATGTTACCCGACTATACACCCACAAAAGCGCTACTTTCAAATGCAGTGCGTTTGAAGGCCGTGCCTCGCAATTTGGGCCGCGGGATTTAAGAGCGATGTTTGTTTTTCGTCTGAAATTTAAGACTGTGTGTAATATTTCGTACGAGTCTGCAGGCAGCGCGTATTCCTTCGTCTGGAAACGTTTTCTGGAGGCCTGTGGTATGATTGGCCCTTAGCCAAAATCAGGGCTCGATACTTGCTTCGGGTCTCTATGACGGTGCTATCTGGCCCTTCACCAAAATCAGAGGCCAATGTATGCTGGGGGCTGTGTGAGGGAACTGACCGACCCTTCACAAAAATTACCTGGGGGCGGTGTGAGGGGTTTGATTGGCCCGTCTTTTTTCTTTTTTTTTTTGCCGATGTGCGCTGTAGGCTTTGTCTACGTGGGGCCTATGTTGCGAGGGCACCCATTGGCCCTTCACAAAGTTGTCACCTGGATGGCACTGATTTCCCTCCCGTCTTTACAAATTTGATTCCCACACCCTCCAGTTCTTTTCGCCTCCCACGTGCACTCGCCCGAACCACTTTGTACAAATTAAGTTGCATTGCCTGAGTTCAGGAACGTGTGATTACTATAGAGAACGGGTGGGGGAGAGGAGGGCGGGGGGGGGGGGGGTGGGGGGGGGTGGGAGGGGAGGGGTAGAAACTCTTGAAGGATTCGTTCGAAATTTGTAGAATTCGCAAATCATTCTTGTCCACGAAGAAATTTTGTCCATATGGCGACCAGACCTGGGGGCCGGCGAACCCTACACGTGGCATAAGGTCTCAGGTTTTGTTGCACATGACACGTTACCTTCGCCCCCTATGGTGGTAGCGAACAAATCACACGCAAAATCTTAAAGCCCTGATCCCAAATTAGTTCACGCAAGTCAACGGGCAGAATTTGGGCTGGGCGGGTGGAAAAACAATTGTTTACTGGGTGCAAAATAATGTGATTCTGTTACTTTGTGAGGGATCTCATCTGCAAGATGGGCCTTGTTTGATTTTGGGAGTTCAAGTGGGGCCAAACGCGGATCTAACAACCGAAACGCCAGGGACACATGAGGTCCCAATTTGTAAGCATAATTACAACCGTCGATTGGAAACCTAGCGAGAGAAGGGATTTACAGGAGTTGGGTTTGGCCAGACCGATCAAACGGCCGAAAGTGCACGAATCAAACTGGGCCAAGTTTGTATAGTTGATTTGTGCCGTAGAACCAACCTCGATGGTGCGCGCTGCTCTGTCCCTGGAGATCTGCTAGCCAAGGTAGTGGCGCAGCTCTCCTAGGTCAGTGCAGGTGTGTCTCCTCAGTAGCTCTGCCTTCACGGAGGCCAGTGCGTCTCTGTCCACAGTAGCAAAGACCAGGTCATCTACGTAGACAAGGATGTAGAACCGGGTCTGGCCAGCACGAACGAAGAGCGAGGGGTCTGCAGACGATGGAAAGAACTGCAGGTCAGCAAACGTAGCCCGAAGCGTGTCTTGCCAGACCCCCCCCCTCATGTCAGGACCTATCCCTCTCTCATGTCTCTGGTCCTCTCTTGGTTTGCCGACTCCCCCCCTCTCCCCCCCCCTTAAGCTGCTTCATGTGTGCGCTGCTGCACCCCTCTCCCTCTCTCCCATCATCTCGGTCATGGACTAGTGATGCCATGGGGGGGGCTGCTGGCAGCCTGTCCCCTTATGCCATGGCCTTGTGATGCCATGGGGGGGGCTGCTGGCAGCCCGTCCCCTTATGCCATGGCCTCGTGATGCCATGGGGGGGGCTGTTGGCAGCCCATCCCCTTATGTCATGGCCTCGTGATGCCATGGGGGGGGCTTCTGGCAGCCCATCCCCTAATGCCATGGCCTCGTGATGCCATGGGGGGGACTGCTGGCAGCCCGTCCCCTTATGCCATGGCCTCGTGATGGCATGGGGGGGGCTGCTGGCAGCCCGTCCCCTTATGCCTTAGCCTCGTGATGCCATGGGGGGGGCTGCTGGCAGCCCGTCCCCTTGTGCCTTGGCCTCGTGATGCCGTGGGGGGGCTGCTGGCAGCCCGTGCCATGGCCTGGTGATGCCATGGGGGGGCCTGCTGGCAGCCCGTCCCCTTATGCCTTATCCTCGTTATGCCATGGGGGGGGCTGCTGGCAGCCCGTCCCCTTATGCCTTGGCCTCGTGATGCCATGGGGGGGGCTGCTGGCATCTCGTTCCCCCAGCCCCTTTGCATTGTCCCTGAGCCCGCATCCCCTTGCAGATTGACGCTGCCAGCTGGGGGTAGCGGGAGCGGCAGCGGAATCACCAGGATTGCCTGCGGGTTGAGCCGGAGCTGCAGGAGCAGCAGCAGCAGCCGCAACATGGGCATGTTAAGAGGCAGCCTGAGCTGCATAGAAGGCCTGTGCTTTGCTGCAACATGAGTACCATGTGCTCTTCCACACACTAGGACTCCGCCTGTTGGCGGTTCTGCAGGTGGCTGCGGCCTAGCATGACGCCCTTTCACCTTGTCTCTTTTTGCCACCTTTCCTGCACAACCGTCTCTAGGCTCGTCCCTAGCCATGGTCATCCATCCCCTTTTACTCCGCCTGATGTCTGCTGCTGGCTGAATGCTCGCATGGTCCTCTTGCTAATTCGTCCTCCAAACTTTGCTTGGAACCGTTTTAGGCTTCTGGATTGTGTCATTTGCATCCTTAAAGCCCGAGTAAAAAATAACAAAGGTGGAGTTCAAGAGAGCCCTTCTTGATGTAGGGCACTCCTGTAATTTTTTGAAACACATCAAGTGAGGTGAAACTCATTTTATGGGCAGGAAGACATAGTGAAACGCCCGTAAATGCGTGAACTGCGAATGCTAGCGAGTGCAACAATCGCCAGCGACCCATCCGCGAAGCTACAGACGACAAAATTCGCAGGGAACAAGTGTGAAACTGGGGCGTGTTCTAAGGACTCGAATTACGCAAAGTTTTGCAAGGAGACCGTCGACGGTGCACCCAAACTGTGCCTAACCTAGATTTGGAAACACTGTCTAGGAACCAAATTCCGCGCTATGAAACACGCCCCGACGCGAACTTGATGACAACGCATCTAAAAATGGTGCACATGTAACTAGCCCTGACGTTGCATATACACAAATGCACAAGAGTGAATCAAAACTGCTTGCATAAATAGTGGTCAATGGTTACGGAAGGCATGTTAGGACAGTTTGAGAAACAATAAAAATAAATTTAAAAAATCAATCAAACGCACAAGAATTCAAGCCCCTGGGCTTAGGCAACACTGCAACATCTGCCCTGAGTACACCAAACAAATGACCTAAAGTCCACTGCCATCCTTACTACCCCGCGGAAGTACAGGAGGACGGCGGGCATGCGGTGGGCTGCACGTAAATTAGGGAGACGGAAGGCATGCACTAACAGTGGGATTGGAATTAGAGGCAGGGGAGAAAGGGAGGCGGGTGAGAAATGAAAGAATTGGCTTTATCACAACAAGAAAGAGATGCAGGGTAGATAGTGGGGGACAGGGTAAATAGGGAGGCGGGGAATATAGGGAAGCAGGGTAGGTACGAAAGCAGGGTAGTTAGGGAAGCACGGTAGAAAGGGGGACTGGGTAGATCAGGACGCAGGGTCAAACTTTCTGGCCACCCTAACAACCCTCATGCCAACCCTCACCCAAGCCCGACCTCCCTCCCTACCATCCGCATCCCCCAGCCTCCCGCTCTACCATCCCCCTCCCCCAGCCCTGTCTCCCTCTCTACCATCCGCATCAGCCCTGACTCCCTCTCTACCATCCGCATCAGCCCTGTCTCCCCCATTGCCTCTTCTCCCCCCCCCCTCTCTCTCAGCCATTGCCTCTTCTCCCCCCCCTCTCTCTCAGCCATTGCTTCTTCTCCCCCCCATCTCTCTCAGCCATTGCCTCTTCTCCCCCCCATCCCTCTCAGCCAAGCCGATACCCTTCCCCCTTCCCATCTCTTCTGCTGCATCAGAACTGACCCAATGTCCTTTACCTTTCGGTGACACCCCCTCTCCCCATTTCCACCCCATTCACACATTTCATCCCCACCCCTCCCCGGCCATGGCTCCTTCCCCATCCCTTCTCTCCGCCCTGCCATCTGTCTGCCCATCATCGCAAAAAACCTGGATTTTTTTTGTTTCGGGTCGACAGGTTTGCCAAACTGGTTTTTTGGTTGCGTCATGGTTGGGGTTCCGTCGGAAACGTTTCTGGAACCGCGCCTCGGTTCTGGCCGACATGCGTCGGAAATTTGTGGTTGGGCATTTCAGGGCAAAAACTGTCCATTTATTTCAGCGGGCAAAATGGCGAGGGCGAAGTTACATCGAGACAGCCGTCAAACATTCGCCACAATTATTACCCGCCCGAACTCTGGCTGAAATTTTCAAGGGCTCGATTCTCGCACCTTGCGAGCATCATTTGCGTTAGCGTGATAAAGGATTTTGGCTACACCAGAACTTGATGAGTTTGGTATACGAATTATTGTAGTATGAATTCTTGGAAAAATATATCATGTGACACCTATGGCAAGCAGGAAAATGTGCAGAAAGGAACATTTTCCTCTCATTTATTGAACCATAAACAAATATTAAATGGCCAATTTCTATCATTGGGTAATTTGAATCAAGATGTTAGCTACAACAGGAAACAGATCTATGCGAATCAACACATGTGCTATGCTCATCATAATTGATATGAGGATGGCCTACATTAATAAATGGAGACAAGTGGTGTGATGCTGCGACGATTGCATACATATGAGATTGGTGGGGATCTAAAGCACGTACATGCGTGTCCCTTTCCATTCGCTCCTCCTTTCAGTCTCAAATTCAACGTCGATGAGTTCCTGCTGTAAAAAAGGAGCAGACGTGTAAAAATGACACTGTTTTATCGGCCACTATCCTTGCACGAAATCAACCCCGTCAAAATATCCAAAAAGCCTTACTTCCCAGTACGCTGCTCCTTTTGGGCCCAATCTTGGGTAGCACAGAGGTCTTGATGTAATAAACTCGCTAACAACTAGAAACCATGTTAGGAAATTCAAAATAGTGCCTAAATGGCAGTACCTTTTATCGACTGTTAGTGCAACCCTATGGCTTGCACTCGGCTTGTCGTCCTTGTTTGTGTGTGTGCATGCATGGCATGGAATGAATTGTGAGTCTATGTCATTGCTATCCAGTGCTTGTGTGTGTGTTTGAATGGTGTATCACAATGTGGTTTGTGTCGGTCAAGACATTAGCGAGTTTTTACAACTCGCATGTCAAGTCGTCGTTTGTGTGTCGCATGTGTTTTTTCTATTTTGTCGAGTGTGAAGTGTCCATCATGTCGCAGGTGTGTGCAGAAAGCCCCCATCAACTCAAGAAGAATTTATCTTGCAGATCCAAGGACAAGAGCTCAAGATTTCAAGCCCAAGGGACGCGGATAAATATTAAATAGTGAAAATAGTAACGTTACTTCGTGTAGTGTTACATTTCACTTGGTGTAGCCCCTTGGAGGGTTGGTTTCGAGACTCTTCATGGTTGGGGACTCTGTGTTGGTGTACCACCAACCTAGACCTCGGCTCTTGGGGTATGTAGAGGCTGGGAACCATCTCCCTCTCGAACTCTTCTTGCTAAGTTTGTACTTCCAAGACTATAGTGGCTGCTATACCTCCTGCCAGTCAAACCGCCATAGCGTCGTCAAATCTTCATGGAATTTCATGATTCAACTTGCTACTGATAGACGACAGCATTACGCTCCAGATCCAACTTACAAATTACAGTTTGAGCGACCAGATCGTTATCAATATTTGAAGCCGTCTGACGGAAATCCGACTGTGCTCTCTATCTCTCATTATAGGCACATCTGAGCCTATTGTGACAATAACAAGTGGTATCAGAGCCCCTTGGAGCCGTCTCGACCATGCCTAGACCTGAGGAAGGGGGTGGCAGAGGTGTTGGAGGCAGAGAAGACGCCCAAGCACAAGGTCAACACCAAGATCCACCCGTTGCTCCGGTGCAACCTAGCCTTGGACCCTCTAGGGATGAGCCTAGAGTGTTTGGCCTTGACAAGTTCAACGGTGACAACTTTGCTGAGTGGTCCTTCAAGATGGAGAACATCTTTGACCACTATGATCTGCTGGAGGTGATGGAAGGAACGGAGAAGCGCCCCGAGAACGACCTGGAGAAGAGCCCGTGGGTGCGGAAGAGCGCACAAGGCTACCTTCTAATTGGGCAAGCGTTGGGGAGCAGCCAAATCCGTCACATCAAGCCTTTTCAGCGTGAACCAGCAAAGGGACCAAAGGCATGGGCTGCTCTCAAGGGTGTACACGCTCTTGCAACAGCGGCGGTGGCTGTGGTTCTGGAGCGGCAAATGGCGGCACTTCGAATTGACGAAGGCGAACCGGTGGAGGAAGGAGTGCAGAAATTCTTCGACTTGTTGACACGGCTCGAAGGAGCTGACCTGAACTACAGTGACCTTCAAAAGAAGACCAAGCTGCTGGCCTTACTTCCGGACTCATGGTCCTCGCTCATCATCAACCTTAATCGAGATCTGCCCCGTCTCTCACTCGAAGATGTGAAGCGGGAAATCTTGCAAGAAGATTTCCGCCGTCGCGAATTGGCGGGTCCCGATGGTGCCGGAGTTGCAAGCATGGGCCGTGGGCACGGCCGTGGAAGGGGCAGAGGGCGAGGAGGAAGATTTGGCAGCAGTAACTTCAATGGAGGCCGTGGTAATGGAGGATATGGCAGCAACAACAACAACAATGGCTACGGGCGTGGGCGTGGTCGATTTGATGGCGAATGCCACTTTTGCCACAAGACCGGCCACATGTGGAGAGATTGCTTCAGATTGCCTGATGGATGGACCCCTTCTCAAGGCCAAGAGGGCAGAGGAGCAAGGGGAGGAAGAGGCAGAGGTCATGGAGGCCGTGGTGGTCGTAGAAGCGAAGCGGCAAGCATGAAAGGTGGAGACTACGACAAGGACTCGAGTGAAGATCGATACCCGGGCCAATTCTTCTTTGTCTCCACGCAAGTGGCAGCTGCAGCAGGAGGTGTGGAAGGCTTTGAGGAGCCAGCTACTGTGGGAAAGGTCACCCTTCACTCTCTGGAGTTTTGGGTGATCGATAGCGGCGCCACCTACAACATGACACCTCGTGCGGACTTGCTCACCGAACTCGAACCGTCGCCGGTCAAGCATGTTACATCGGCTTTGGGGCAGCGAGCAGAGGTGAAAGGCATGGGCAAGGCCATGTTCAAGGGTGCTGATGGGAAGATGGTGGGCCTCAAGAACGTGCTTTTGGTACCCAACCTAGCAGCCAACCTGATTTCCGTTCGGCGTTTGCAAAAGGCCGGCATGGACACATCTTCCAAGGGATCCAAAACCTATACCGCAAGGCTTGGTGAGCGGAAGCTTTGGGACCTTCATGAGGACAGGGACATCTACAATGAGATGTGGCAAATCCCAGTGGTCCCCATGCCTAAAGAGAGGCAAGTGGCAGCAAGCGTCAGCACCAAGCGTGAAGCGGTTGGTGGCGGTGATCACGGAAAGCAAAGTGACACCAAGAGTGACTCGAAGGAGTGCAACCTTGGAGAGACCAGCAAGGCGTGTGAACCCAAGGAGAATGGTGCAGCAGCCAAAGGTGGTGGAAATGAGGAGGAGAAGGCTAAGATCAACAAAGAAGCAGCGGCGAAGGAGAAAGGAGAGAGCTTGTGGGGCACAATTGCGAGTGCCGCTTTCTCCAACCCGACTTCCGCTACGGGAGAGTGTGATTGGCTGACCTTGCATCGGCGAATGGGGCATGTGGCATTGCCCATTTTGCAGCAGATTGTTAAGCAAGAGATGGTCAGTGGGATACGTGTCAAGGGGGAGCCCAATGAGGTGCTTGGCTGTCCAACATGCATGCAAGCCAAGTTCACCCGCTACCCGTTCCAGCTCGGAGACAACGGCGAAGGCACCACTTGATGAGGTGGTGATGGATGTGGTGGGCCCCTTGAAGCTTGGAGCTGCTGGAGCAGAGTACTTCCTCACCATTGTGGACGTCTACACTCGCATGACTTGGGTGTATGTACTGCCCAAGAAGTCTTGGGTCTTCAAGGAGTTTCCCTGTCTCGGCAGAGTCTTTTTTCGCGGAGTCGTATTTTTCCTCGGCGATTTTCCCTGGCGAGGACTGGTCGTGGGGTGGAGATTTTCCCCATCATTTCCTCCTTCTCGCGTCGAATCAGCTTCGTCGAAGTTGATTTTTCCGGAATCCCGCGGCCGTTTTCGGATCTTTTTATTTTCGCCAGCTAGATCCGCAATCACTGGCGACACCCGTTTTGTGACTTCTAATTGGCTGAAGGAATTCCGCCACTGTTGCGTGCCCGATACTCTGCGCGTGCGGTCTTCATTTTGCTGCAATCGAAGATTCGATGACCCGGCACCCCGCAAAAATCACACGTGTAGTTGGTGTTTTTCGGACGTGGCCGCCCCTCGAATCTGTCGACTTCCATCGGGTCGGCGAACGTGGGGTGAGCCGAGCGGTCGCTCTGTCGCGTACTGCCGACTTGCGTCCGTCGTGTTCCAGCGTTGACCATGTCGAAGCGCTCCGCTGCCGAAACGACGTCACTGTAGCTCGCGTAGTTTGACGCTGCGACTTGTTGTTTGACTTCGGTCTTCAGCCCAGCGAGGTACGATTGTACTTTTTCCCCTTCGGTCAGGTCGGGAATGCGGTTATTAAGTTCCTCCATCTGCTGCGTGTACTGTGCTACACTCCCGAACTGTCGGTGTCGATGAATTTTTTCCCGGGCAAGGAAACTGGAATTTATCGGCTCGAAGCGTTTCAGCAGGTCGGCGCGGAACTGCTGCCACATGGCTTCACCGTGGATGAAAGTACTGTTGCCGCCAATCCACTCGAGTGCCGGCCCTCGCATCAGTGTCGCCGCGAGTCATACACGTTGTCCGTCCCAGACTGGCGAGCTCCATCCGACGGCTGCGAAGTAGATCTCCATCCCGGCGATCCATCTGCGGGCGTCGGAGTTTCGATCGCTCGGATCGAACGGCTCAGGTGGGCGCGGTTTCGGAGCCTCGAGAAACTGCTGCGACTGCTGCGTCATCGCCGTTGTCGTCTCGTGCTGCGCTCCGGCGAGTGGAGTTACTCGCTCGAACTGGTTTCGCCACGCTTCTTGATCCGCTCGCATTTCCTCCTGAAGGGCTGCGATGCGCGCGAAGAGCTGCTGGGTAACCTCGGCGTTGTCGAAGGTTGCCATCCTGTTCAAAACATGCACGGAGGGGGTAATTCGAAAATCGCGGAGCTGGTGCTTACCAGAATCGGCGTCGAATTGGTCGCCCCCGGCGGTTTTTCGAGGCAGGATCCCCGCTGCTGCTGCTTAGCTGAACGCGGTCGAGTGAGAAAAGCTCTGATTACCAAGTGTCACAGGATCGAATGTGTCGAGGAAAGGTTGCACTATCGATCAGTACAAGGCGCTTTTATACTTCCAAAGTACATCAGGTAACCAGGTTTATCTTATCCTAAGGGAATAGACCCTTCTAGAAGATAGAATCACCCTGCGTATAGCCACGCGAGGCTATTGGCTTTAAGGGATTACGGCAGGATTACGCTAGATATAGCGCACCAGTACATCCCAAGCCTGGTCGGTGATATAGCTAGAATAGCAGGATAAACCCAAGGTTAATGGAAAATGGAGAATAGGAAACCAAATGAGATGAGATAAAGAGAAATGAACGAGCCAAGAGCATGTGATCTAGTGGCAGAGGTGTGGGCTGTGCGGAGGAGAACTGAAGGCCGAACCTCTGAAGGACCTGGCGCACCAAGTGTGATTGTATGAGAGTGATGGTGCGCGCTGCTCTGTCCCTGGAGATCTGCAACCCAAGGTAGCGATGCAGTTTTTTTTTGTCAGTGCAGGTGTGTCTTCTCAACAGCTCTGCTTTCACTCAGGCCAGGGCGTCACTCAGGCAAACTACGGCGTCTGCCATGGCGCAGCCTCAGTGCTCACTGACGTTGCTGACTTTGCTGCTAGCCACCGCCTTGACTACGCTGCCGCTCTAGGGGTGCACCTGCCCTTTGGCAGTAACATACTAGAGGACATGCAGTACGAGATGGCTTACCTTGCTGCCGCTGTACCCCATCTCTACGCCATGCTAGTATCCCCTGAGGGTGACCCGGACCCCCTCGACATCCCCATCCCGTGCTCTTACGCTGAGGCGGTGTTGGGGCCCTGGGCAGCCCAGTAGATATAGGCAATGGAGGCTGAGATTGCATTCTACATATTCACAGGCACTTACATCAACGCAGTTCCCCCTCCTGGGGCGAACGTAGTCAATGGCATATGGATCTACTGTGTAGGGTGAAGCGCGCACTTGGAGAGCCGTCGAGGTTCAAGGCGTGTTACGTGGCTAGAGGCTTTAATCAGTGGGAGGGTGTGGAAATCTTCCATACCTTCTCCCTACCCCATAGATGACTACTCTTCAGGTGCTCCTCCACATAACCGCACAGTGTGACTACGAGCTCCACTCATTGGACTTCTCGACAGCCTTCTTGCAGGGCAGCCTGCACGAGCAGATCTTCCTGAGACGCCCACTAGGCTTCTCCAGGTCTTTCCAAGGCACTCAGTCTATGGCGTGCGCCAGGCAACCCGTGGGTGGCA